TGTAGACTTTGGCTTTTGGAAGATGCAGATTGAAGATTTTCTGTACCAGAAAAATCTATATCAACCTCTCTCAGGAAAGCAACCAGAGGGCATGAAGAATGAAGACTGGACTCTTCTCGACAGACAAGCCCTCAGAGTTATTCGACTGACGTTATCCCACAATATTGCTTTAAATATAGCAAAGGAAAAGACCACATCAGGTCTTATGGCGGCTCTCCAGTATGTATGAGAAGCCATCAGCCTCAAACAAAGTTCATTTGATGAGGCGATTATTCAATTTGCGAATGGCGAAAAGGGCATCAGTGGCTCAACACCTAAATGAAGTCAACACAATCACAACCCAGTTGAGTTCCGTGGAAACTGAATTCGATGATGAAGTTCGAGCTTTAATTCTCTTATCATCTCTACCAGATAGTTAGAATGCTACTGTTGCAGCAGTTAGCAGCTCGTCGGGAAATAGTAAATTGAAATTCGACAATGTTCGGGATCTGGTACTAAGCAAAGAAATTTGACAGAAAGAATCGGGTGAAGTATCAACCTCCTCAGCCTTGCACACGGAGTCCAGAGGGAGAATTTCAAAAAGAAATTCAAATCGTGGCAGATCCAAATCCAGAAAGGGAAAATCAAGAACAAGAAAGAAAGATTTTACCTGTTATAACTGCGGCAAGAAGGGTCACTTTAAAAAAGATTGTCGAGCACCGAAGAAAAATATCGGCGCACAGGAATCTGCCAACGTGACAGATGATACAAGTGATGTCATGATTCTAAGCGTCAACAGTCCGATTGAATCATGGATCTTGGATTCAGGAGCATATTTTCACTCCACCCCATGCCGAGAAATCCTGGCCTCAAAAGAAATTTGATTTCTGTAGGAAAACTTGATGGAGAATGATATATCACAACTTTTTCAGGTTGTGAATGGAAGATTACCAAAGGAGCACTCGTCATTGCTCGTGGTAAGAAGACTGGTACTCTCTATGTAACCTCAAATTTAGAGAATATCATTGCTGTAGCATATGCTGATGGAAAATCAAACCTATGGCACCAAAGGCTTGGCCATATGAGCGAGAAAGGGATAAAGACACTTTTGTCAAAAGAGAAGCTGTCGGATCTAAAGAGTGTAGATGTCGGACTATACGAGCATTGCATCTTTGGCAAACAAAAGAAAGTCAGTTTTACAAAGATTGGCAAGACACCCAAGGCAGAAAAGTTAGAGTTGGTTCATACTGACGTATGGGGACCATCTCCAGTTCCATCTCTTGCAAGCTCATTATATTATGTCACCTTTATCGATGATTATACAAGGAATGTGTGAGTTTATTTTCTGAAGAAGAAATCAGAAGTCTTTGATACCTTCAGAAAACGGAAGGCAATGGTGGAAAATGAGATTGGTTTAAAAGTCAAGCGGTTGAGGTCTGACAATGGATGAGAGTACAAAAATAGAAGATTCAGAGATTTTTGCGCAAACAATGGGTTCAATATGGAGACAACAGTTCGCATGACACCGCAACAGAATGGCTTAGTAGATCGCATGAACAGAACTCTGAATGAACGTGCCATAAGCATGAGGATACATGCTGGATTACCTAAATTTATATGGGTTGAAGTTATCAACATTGCAGCTTACCTAATCAACAGTGGGCCCTCAGTTCCCTTGGATGGTGGAATACCGGAGGAAGTTTGGAGCAAGAAAGAAATAAACCTTTCACACTTAGAGTGTTTGGTTGTATTTCTTATGTACACATAGACTCTGCTGAAAGAAGTAAACTTGATGCTAAGTCCAACAAATGTGCCTTTGTTGGTTATGGTGGTGATGATTTTGGTTACCGATTTTGGGACTACGAAAATCAGAAGATCATCAGAAGCAGAGATATCATTTTCAATGAGAATGTGATGTACAAAGACATGTCAACCATAGAATCAAGTAGCTCAAATATCGAAGCTGAAACAAAGGAATTTGCTGAGTTCGAGGAGATTTTTGGAAATGATGTTCAGATCAGTCCTGAAGCAGTTCAAGAAGAACCAGACACACCAGAACTAAGACGCTCCTCCAGAATTCCTAAACCAACCCAGCGTTATTCGCCTTCTTTGCACTACTTGTTGTTGACTGACAATGGTGAACCAGAGTGCTATGATGAAGCAATGCAGGTGGAGGATTCAGTCAAGTGGGAGTCTTTTATGAAAGATGAAATTGACTCGCTTATGTCAAATCAGATGTGGGAATTAGTTGAATTACCACCAGACAATAAAGCTCTCCATAACAAGTGGATTTACAGGATCAAAGAAGAGAACGATGGGAGCAAACACTACAAAGCAAGATTGGTTTTCAAAGGCTTTCAGCAAAAAGAATGTATTGACTACAATGAAATTTTCTCTCCAGTCGTAAAATTGTCTACAATCAGACTGGTGTTGAAAATTGTAGCTGCAGAGAATTTACATCTTGAGCACTTAGATGTAAAGACAACTTTCCTTCATGGTGATTTGGAGGAAGAAATCTATATGAGGCAGTCAGAAGGCTTCATAGAGGCAGACAAGAAAAACCTGGTATGTAGGTTGAAGAAGAGCTTGTATGGTTTAAAACAAGCTCCTAGACAGTAGTACAAGAAGTTCGATAACTTCATAAGTAATAGTGGTTTTACCAGATGCTAAGCCAATCATTGTTGCTACGTCAAAAGGTTCGATAACAACTTCATTATTTTATTGTTGTATGTTGATGACATGCTCGTTGCAGGCTCAAACATGCAAGAGATTATAAACTTGAAGCAAAAATTATCGAAGTAGTTTGCTATGAAAGATCTGGGCGCTGCAAAGCAGATTTATGGGATGAGGATCAAGAGAGACACAAAGTCGGGGACTTTGATGTTATCACAGGCTGAGTACATCAACAAAGTACTCTACAGGTTCAACATGCAAGATGTTAAACCAGTAAGTACACCTTTAGGTGTTCATTTTAGACTCTCCAAAGAACAATCACCAAAGACGGAGGAAGAACGTGCACACATGGTGAAGGTGTCGTATGCCTCAACAATTGGAAGTCTAATGTATGTCATGGTTTGTACCATACCAGATATTGCTCAAACAATGGGAGCTATTAGCAGGTACATGAATAATCCGGGAAAACTACACTGGGAAGCTGTCAAATGGATCCTCATATATCTGTGGGGTACTACAAACAAAGCACTTTGTTTCAAAGGTGGAGATACGATACTGACATGCTATGTAGATGCTGACTTAGCTGGAAATATTGACATCAGAAGGAGCACTACAGGGTATGTCTATACTCTAGGAGGTACTGCAGTGAGTTGGGTTTCTCAACTACAGAAGATAGTTGCTCTCTCCACAACTGAAGCAGAATATGTCGCTGTTACGGAAGCCAACAAGGAGATGGTTTAGCTCCAAAGTTTCTTGGAAGAGTTAGGCAAGAAACAAGAAAACAATGTCTTGTATTGGGATAGTCAAAGTGCTATTCATTTAGCAAAGAATTCGTCTTTTCATTCCAGGACAAAGCACATACAATTGAGATATCATTTTATCCGGTCTCTTCTGGAAGATGGGATTTTGAAGCTTGAAAAAATTAGTGGAGCTCAAAATCTGGCAGACATGTTGACAAAGACGGTGACCACTGACAAACTGAAGTTGTGTTCAGCTGAAGTTGTGTTCAACTTCAGTTGACATGCTAGAATAACAGGACCAGAAATGCTGCTGCATTGATCGAGGTGTGAAGACAGATTAAAATAAGTCTTCAAGTGGGAGATTGTTGAAAGTATTGTTAAAAGTTAAGTTCAAAGTTTGACAACCAACTTTGAAAAAATGATTTTCAAAGTTTGGTAAATGTTTTTTTTGAAAATGGTTTTCAAAGTTTGGTAAATATTTCTTTGAAAAATAGTTTTTCAAAGTTTGGTAGATGTTTGTTGAAAAATGATAATGGGATCATCATAATTAATCCCTAGACTTTAGGGTATTTACAAGATTAAGTCCTTAAGCTTCAACTATAAATACTCTAGCTCATTTAGCTTCAAAACAATCCCAAAATTGAAAATCATTTCTTTCTCCCAATTCTAGAGAGCTTTCTGTGAGTAGTGAGTGTTTTGTAAACACCTGTAAATTTTCTCTTTTAGTAAAAGATCTGCAGCAATCCGGAGACGTAAGAAAAATTGGCTGAACTCTGTTATCAATTTCGGGTATTATTTTTCCGCTTTTATTTCGCATTCTCACTAATCTGGTTATAGGGAAATTACTCGTTCTCTGTTTATTTCCCAACAGAATAATTCCTCAAGAGCTTGGTCCATTAGGAATTGAGGATGACCCCATTTTATGGGCACTGATGTTTGAAATTCTGGTTCAATGAGACTTGTGGAGCATAATTGCACTGTGTTATTGCTTGAGGTTGAGCCTAGAGCAAAAAGGAATGGAGGCAAGTTGTTCCCTAGTAATAGCTTTGCATATCATTCCAATGAGGAGATTTCAAGAAAGGTTTGTAGGTTAAATAGTGGTTTATCGAGATCCTCGGGATAGAGTGAGGTCGTCGTTCCTTTTAGTCGGTTGAATTTATGTGACAGGAGAAAGTTGTCTGAGACTGTTACTAGCCAAGTTCGTCTTAAGCTTACCGATTTTTTAAGTGGGCCTCTATTCCCTTCATTGAGGATGAGGAGAATTTCCTAAAAAATGGTCATATGTTGTAGAGAAAATCACTGCTTCTTCAGATGTCAAAGTCTGGTAGTGAACAGGGTTGCACAGATTTGAAGAAAAAGAATAAGAAGAGGATTTAGAGGGTTAAGTGTCACGTTAACACAAACTAACGGAGAGACTATTAAAAACAAACTAAAAGTTTAATGATTGTATTAAAAATTTCAAAAGTTGGGTGATCAAAATGCAAACATCTTAAAAGTTTAGAGACTATTTATATACTTTATCCTAATTTTTATTGACATTTTGCTCGAGAGTTTATGACCAACAATAGTGTTAAGATAATTATCCAAAAAAAAAAAAAACAATGGTGTTAAGTCTTATGAAATCAATGGTGAACTACCCATTTCCTAAAACATATTCAAAAACCAGATTCCTCCTTTGATAATCAATATTCAATACACCTTGTGCTAAAAATTCAACCTTTGAATCAAAACTTACCAAAAAAGCACAATTCTTTGAATAGCTTAAATCATTTTATTTTGTTATGGGAGCTGAAAAGAAATGGCTTTTCATTCTCTTTTCAATAACACTATTCTCCATTCTCCTTCTATTACTTTACTCAATCTCTGTTTTCAGCTCCCTTAGACCTTTCCCTTCACCCGTCCAGAATGGCCTTCACTATCCACCGGCTTTTGGGTATTATTTATATGGTGGTAAAGGTGATAAAGATCGGATCTTTAGGCTTTTGCTTGCTGTCTATCATCCGAAGAATCGATACTTGTTGCAACTTGGAGCTGACGCCTCTGATGTGGAAAGGTATAGCTTGGATTTGGCTTTGAAATCCGTGCCTGCTATTAGGAGCTTTGAGAATGTGGATGTTATAGGGAAGCCTGATAGGTTTTCATCTATGGGTTCTACACATATTGCCGCCACGTTGCGTGCTGCTGCTATGTTGATGAAGCTTGATCGTGGCTGGGATTGGTTTATTGCTCTGAGTGCTTTGGATTATCCCTTGGTTACACAGGATGGTAAGCAGCTTCAGTTCGTTTGTTCCTTTGTTTTTTGACTTAAATTGTTTTCTTTTTGTATGGAGTAGAGAATTAAGATTTTCTTATTTTGAGAAATTACTAGTTCTTGAAAATTTCAATGATTTGCATTGGTTCGGTATAGAAAGTTTAGTGCATTCTTTCCGAGCTTAGAGTGTTTCTCACTGTCTAAATTTGGGATTTGATTCAGGAATGTTGTACACCACTAAAGGAAAATTGTCGATCTTGATCATGTTTTGGACTAGTTTCTAGTTCCATTTAAGTTGTCATAATTCCAAGAATTCTTTTGCCATTACTTGTTGTCAAGTTATATTTTACTTAAAATGTAGGCTTTATAGCTGACTAGTGACTAAAGAAAATTTTCTGGATGAAAGCATGCATTCGCCTAGTTAGCAATCTATATTTTGAGGCGGTTTTAATTATGCAAAAATGAAACTTAGAAAGCTATCAAGCAGATGACAAATTTGATTCTGCATACTCGCTCAGTATCAAATTGGGAACTTAATGGTTAAGTAGTATGTTATATATGTCGTATGAGTGTCTTGAGCAGATTTATATTGATGATTCATGAGGTTTCAGTCGGACATCTCCGTTTTTGGGTCTAAATCTGCAGCGAATTGGTGAAACATTTAGTTTAGTGAAGGGAAGCAACTTTTGGACCAAATTTCCACCTGTTAAGATATGTTACATTGTTAGAGTAGTGATGCATCCCCTATGTTTCACTTTTGAGGCTTGTTTCAGAGACATCCCGGCATTATTATTGGTGCATCAGTTCTGTGATTATTTGTTGTTTTACGTATGAAGTTAGATCCTTTAGCTAATACACTTTGGCATTTAGATGAAGTGCCATTTTCCTCATACCATTACAACCCGAGGCCGCTGAAAATCATATCATTTGCTTTTCTGGATGGAACTTCTATAGAGACCTTACTGATACTGATTTTTCTGCAAGGTGCTCTGCGACCTGCGTCTACAGTTCTTGCTGCCAGTGGACGTCTGCCCAATTATTAAAAGATTGTTTGGTTGTTAAGTATTTTAAGGTTTAGTATGCTAGAATGAAAGAAAATGGCTTACTATCCTTTGTTACTGTGGTGAGATGAATTCTCGTAACGAACTAATGAAAATATGTGTGTGTGAGTTTTTGGAGCTGAAAGTGCTATGAGTTCTGATGCTCTTTACTTATTTTATCATGCTTGGGTGCAGAGTCTGGACACAGTAACAGTTTTGCAACTAGACAGCTCAGGTTGAAACCGATATCCGGAATTTTGTTTTAAACTTAATTAATTTCTGTTTATTTCTACTTCATTGTAGATAGGGTATATTGAAAATATTGAATAACATTTCTGCTACCGAGATGCTTTAGACTGAATGAAATGGAAAATACGAAGGATTAGTTCCTAATGCTACTAGGCTATAAAGTCCTCTTATCCATAGTCTTCCCATTATTTCTCTCTCCGGATCTCAATCTACCCGTGCACATCATTTGCCTGCGCACTATGCGTTTCCCCCCTTCATAATGCTACCTTGTATTTTCACACTTATGCTTCTATTGTTCTTAATTGTATCTATTGTAACCCTTCTTTTTTATTGGTTTTGTTTCGTATCTCAGATTTGTCCTACGTGTTCTCCTCGGTTAGAAGGGACCTAAATTTTCTTGATCATAATAGTGACCTTGGGTGGAAAGCGTAGGCAAAATCCTTTTTATAAGATCTATAGGTCCTTCTGCTGCACATGAATAATTAAAGCTAATTGTATCGGTTCCGTTTTATGCAGAGAACAACGGCTCGAGCCTATTGTGGTTGACCCAGGGCTTTACCTAGCTAGGAGGACCAAAATTTTTCATGCTACGCAGAAACGACCAATGCCTGAGGCTTTTAAAGTATTCACAGGCAAAGTCTACAATCCATATTGTTGCTTGAACTTTTTCTGAAACTAATTACATATATACATGATTTCATTTCTCTAGCAATGCTACTCTCATCTACAGTTTGGTACTGAATCGCAGGTTCCCCGTGGGTTGTCTTAAGCAGATCCTTTCTGCAATTTTGTCTTTTTGGCTGGGATAATCTACCCCGAACCCTTCTGATGTATTTCAACAATGTTATGTTATCTGAAGAAAGTTATTTCCATTCTGTCATTTGCAATTCACCGGAGTTCAAGAACACTACTGTAAACGGTGATTTACGATATATGATCTGGGACAGTCCCCCGAAGACGGAACCCCACTTTCTCAACATTTCTGATTATGATCAAATGGCTGCAAGCGGAGCAGCATTTGCAAGACCATTTCAAAAGGATGATCCTCTGTTGGACATGGTTGACAAAAAGATCCTCAAGCGAGGGCGAAACCGAGCTGCCCCAGGGGCATGGTGTACTGGCCGGAAAAGCTGGTGGGTAGATTCTTGCTCACAATGGGGTGATGTAAATATCTTGAAGCCCGGACCACAAGCAAGGAAGCTTGAGGAAACTATGATAAACCTTCTCGACGACTGGAATTCGCAATCTGATCAGTGCACATGAAGGTGTGTGACGAGACTCTGTGCATCGACTTTTCGTACGACTTTTACCGGGGGGGGGGGGGGGGACTCTGTATGATATATGATATCTGAGGGGAAAACAAGAGAATTTTCCATTGAACTTTTTGAGGAAGAAATCATTGTCGTACGTGAATATTATAAATAGTTAAAAGCTATAGAGAAACACGCATTAGAATGTCACAATCACAACTTGCCGTGGAGGAACCATTTCTTCATCATTTGTCACCTTCTCTTCATCATATTATTTCCTTTTCAACATCATTTACTTTGTTTTGATCGCCTAAAGTGTGTATATAAATACACATACACATATGTATTCATTTCCTGTCTTTGATAATCATGGAAGAAACAACCATGAAAGAGAGCAGACTTTTGATTTTTGAAGGCGGCCAGTCAGCAGATAACATGACGATGCCTGGTCTTCCTCAGGAAGTAGTCGTCAATATACTATCCAGGCTTCCCTTCACATCTTTGTTGAGTTTAAAGCTGGTCTGCCGACCCTGGCGAATCCTCATACATGATCCATTTCTCATTAGCAAGCACTTGGATGAGGCTGCCGGCAATGATCCGAGCTTCATCTTGGAAAGCAACTGGCCTATCCCCGACCAACGCTACTTCATAGATTTCTTCGATAACAGTGAAGGCAAAGTGACCTCGAAGAAGCTCCCCGCCATTAATTCTTCTACTAATCCCATGTGCTTGATAGATTCATGCAATGGGTTGCTTTGCATGCACGATTCATCACGAAGGATATTCATTTGCAACCCTTTTACCGGGCTTTACATCGAGCTCCCCAAATTGGTCAAGTACCCATCGCTAGTGGGGCATTTGGTGTTCGGATTTCATCAAACCACAAAGGAATACAAGGTGATGTACATGCACGTATCTTTTGACATTAGATATGTTATTTCATATTATTAACAATAGCTGTTGGTAATATTAAAGAGCGTAAAGCATGTAATCCTAAATTAGGAAGAGAAATTATTTTAGATGAGAGACAACACTCTTACATACGTGCGTCACCGCCGTCCGATCGGTTTGTATACGTGTTAACATATGTTAACACACGTACGACACTTATTATCTTTTTAAAATTTTAAATTGTTGTTATAATTTACAACGTTCCAACATTAATTTAGGTTGCTATAACATCTGTTAATACAACTGTCATAAATTCATTTTCTCTCTATGTTTTCTCTTGTTTTTAAAGATTTTTGCTTTCTTTTAGAAATTTTGACTTTTGAGAAAAATAATATCATTACCGTCTACTTCAAACTTCGAGTGTATAATTTCTTTGAGTATATGTTAACCTCGTAGACCTTGTTCACTGCAGCGATTAAAACAATGATTCACGACGACATAATATTTTGTTCCTTTTCGATTTATTCATTTATTTATCATGTTAGTGTAATGTCTAGTTTTTAAGTAAATTTACCAACAGTGTCAACTATTTACAGATAATTCAGATAGTATTTCGAAGACAATTGAGAAAAGTCTACTCAAGTACTATACCTACATCAACATCTTCAACTTTATCGGAGGTTCAGATATTTACCATCGGAAGTCCTTGTTGGAGAAATCTAGGAACAATACCGTATCGTTTTATTCTTTCGAAACCCAAAGCTTTGGTCCATGGGAGATTCCATTGGCTTTCCACGCCTAACAAGAACACCACGGCTACCTTGCTTATATCGTTCGATCTCGACACCGAGCGATTCCGGGAGATACCGAAGCCTGATTGTTGTTGCGGTTCAGACAAGTGTTTCCGTCAACTTATGGTTGTACGAGGTTGTCTCTCGGCAATCGCGTTTCACGATAATTACGGCGAACGATTGGAGATTTGGATTATGAAGGAATACAGTGTGAAAGAGTCTTGGATCAAGGAGTTCAGCATTGGAGCTTATTGCTTGCCTCCGACATTGATGCAGCAAGAGATCATCCAGTTCAGTGCTTATTTCAGACCTAACCGGTTTGTTCGATTTCTGTGTGTGTTGAAAAGTGGCGAGATCTTGTTGGAGTTCAAAAGAAAAGCACTTGTTGTTTATGATCCACGGGATGGAACATTCAAGGAGTTTACGTTTCCAGAAATGCCTAATCGCTTCAAAATAGTTATTCATGTGGGAAGCTTGAATTGGCTTCACAATTGATTCTATGTTTTCACAAGCTTGTATCAATGATATATATATATATATATATATATATATATATATCACTTATACAATGTATATTAAAAAAACTCTTTTAATTTTACATAAATTTAAAACTATTTAATAAGTGAAAATAGATGAGTGAGATTAAGTTAATCTCAATTTTTATTTTTATTCATCCAACAGTCTTTTTGTGTAAAACTAAAATAATTTTACACTATAATAAGATCTTATCCTATATATACGAGTTAGGATTCACTTATACAATGCAAACTTTTTTAGTTTTACATAAATTTAAGATCATTGGATTAGTGAAAATAGATGTATGTGACTAATTTCTTATATTTTTTAGTGAACTACAATTAATTTCAATAGTCTATTTGACTAATGATTTCATTCGTAAAATGACATTTTTATCCTAAAATAAAATATTAAAAGATAAAATACTTTAAAATAACATTAAAATGAATATTTAATCAAATATTATTATATTTTATATATTTTAATTAATTAAAAAAAATTTAAATACATATAAGTAGATCAATATTGAAATAGAATATAAATGGTACAAAACAATCATTTATATAATTATATGTTATATTTACGTAGGAAAAAGAAAAGAGGACGAAAGAGACATATTTACCGCCGCGAAATCAGGCACGAATAGCTGGAAACGTCGGCTTTACTCGTTTTCTAGTTAGTTGCCGTTGATTGACGATGTCAAGGAATTTTTTTTAGTCTGTTCGTTGGACTATTTCTAATCCGACATATTAATTATTAAACCAAAATATATATTTTGGAATACAAAGTTTTTGATAATACGTTTTCTCATCAAAAATAGGCAGAATAATATTTTTACACTCGAATATTCTTAATTTAATTATTTCAATTATTAAATTTGTGTCATATTTTTAAACTCTATAATTTTTATTTATTTTTATTAAGTTAATCCAAATTTGATGGAATAATAATAACGTCGGGCCATTGTCGATCTCTAAGATTGATGAGAGAAGATTCACAGTCAAATAATCAGTTGCCACTATTCCACGTCAAAATCTCTTGGTCTCATAAGAGTTGCAATTCATCGAGAATAACCCAAAGCTCTGCATTAAGGCTTGAGCAAGAGCCGATCATACGTCTACAAACCAACATTAATTATTTTACTTTTTTCTGTTCTATCATCAATAAATTAATATTCATTATTAAAATATTGATATCAACTCTTTTTTTTATAACTTTCAATGTCTTTTAAATTTTTAATAATATGACAGAAAATGATAAAATAGTTTATGTAAACATTTTAATAACTATAAATTAGCGTCGTTGTTTTGTCACATTTGAGTTAATTTGACAAAAATAATAGCTTGAAGGTAAAAACGAATACAATGCAACTTTAAGTGTTAAAATAGACCAATTTATAAAGTTAAGGAGCAAAAAAGACATTTTACCTAAAAAAGAGTTTTTTTTTAAATAATCCGAGTGATTATAACATAATATGTGTTCAGAAATTTTCTTAACCTATTAATAATGCATACATATTTAGCGAATGCAGTTGTTTGAATTCGGGTTCTCAAAAGCTGGTAAAACCCTAGCTCTGCTTGTCCTAGTGTCCTCTCCATTTTTGTGTCGCTTGGCCATTTTTTTCATTTGTCTTGGTCAGTGGAAGGACTAGCTTTGGTGTTGATCGTCGATATTCGATATTCATTATTTTTTTGACTTTCTTATATTGCATCCTTGCTTTTCTTTTATTTTTTTAGTTTCTAATAATTGTCTTTATAATATGTTTTTCTCTATCTTTATGATATGTTTTCCTCTATCTTTATGATATGTTTTCCTCTGTATTTTGACACACTTTCGGTATTTTTAGCGTCCATTTGGTTGTTCTATTTGTTTAATTTTCTCAGGATTAGAATTGATGTCGCATTGATTGATAAATATGACATATGTTTATTATCTTGTTGATCTTCAATGTTTTGGACCATCAAATTGGATTTGGATATGTGATTTGTGTTTAGAGATAGTTTTCTCACGACGCTCGACTCTGATTTTGGTTATCCGTGATATTTCAGTAGTTTGATTTCTTGTTGTGGTTCGTTTTTCGATGCAGTCAGATATGTTTGCATTTATATTTTGTTCGAGTTTTTTGGATGAGCTTTTAACATTTTCTTTGTATGGTTCTTGCAAGATCTCAAGTGGCTAGTATCTTGTCTCTATGGTTATAATAAATGTCATAGTTATGTGTTTAATTTACTTTTATGGTTGTAAATTTTCATTGTAATTTTGCCACACCCCGATTTAGGGGTTAAATTATAAGTTTCTGAAATTTTTAAATAGATTTAGAAAGTGCGGGAAAATCAGGGACTCGATCCTGAATTTACCTATTTTTGCTGGACATGGAAAAATAAGGGTGAAATCCCTAAAACCCAAAATTCCCCGAATTTTTTTCTACCCCGATCAAAACCTCGTTTCCCTCCACAAACCCTCGTCGTCCGACCACCGTTCGACCAACTGCTACCCCGTTCGACTCGTCGTGTATCACCGTGAAACGCCTCCATGCGTCGTGTATCATCGTCGTAACCTTCTTTCGTCGCCATACATTTTTGCCTCGATTCTGGTGAATCTAGCGATCGCCTCACCGCTTGTGTAGTTAGCATCGTCGTCCTCGGGTGCTCGTGACCCAATCCGTGGGTCGAAGCATTGCCGCCGTTCGTCGGCGTCGGTGTGGGTAAGGGTTTCTGTTATTTGTTTTATTTTAATTCAGATGGATTGGGGCTGATGTTTGAGTTGTTTATTGCTTGATATGTTGTGAGGATGATCAGGAAAGAATCGGCCGCCTGAAACATCCCCTATCGTCGCCGCACGTGTCGGAAGTGCACGTGGGGCGCCTCCACCAGTCCAAGAAGTTTTTGGAACCGGTCCAGATAGACTGAACCGGTCTGAACAGGGTCTAGTTGACCCGACCGAGTCAACTCAGACTTAGTCAACACGTCAGAGTTAACCCGTTGACTATGGCAGTTGACTTTGAACGTTGACTTTGACCCAAAAGTTAACTTTTTTGGAAATGTCTTATTTTATGTTTTTCAATTTCATGAGTCCGAATTCGAAGTTCGTTTTGCCAAATTCGTGCTCGGTAATCCGTTTTTCAATGTTTTATCTTGAATTCAAATTGGTTTCTCAATTAAGTTCAGTTTCTGATGTAAATTTGTGCTATGTATATAAGGAATTATTGGACGTTGAATTCAAGTTTGAAGGTGATCAAATGGAGTTTAAATGGTCGATCTATATGGTATGAAAATCGAGGTAATATATTACTACCTGTTTCATACTTTATGGAACACGTTGGCATTGATTTCTGTATAGATGAGTATAATTGGTCACATGTATGTAGTGATCACTTCCTAAACTCGATCCGAATATTATAAAAAGTCGGTAATCGGATATGACTTATATGGCTCGCTTAAGAAAGTGGAAGATCAATCGGAAATAATAATAAAAGTTTGGTGATTCAATAATAAATGATTTGATTTTAAGGTTCGAGAATTTTGATACATTTTCTTGAATATTAAATACCTGGATTATTTGGATATGATATTATCGAAAAGAGCACCATGGGATAAAATTACGAAAATGCACTTGTAATGGAAAATGACCAAGACTTCCCCGGATGGTGAAAAATAACTCTAGAATAACATATCTGACTAATTATCAGAGAAACTGCATATGCTTGAATTTAAATGAATTGTTGAAATGTTCTCGAGCTTCGTAATAACTATAATAACCTCCAATTATCAAAGGAACAAAATACCATGAACGTTAAAGGAACTAGAATTCATTTAAGCCTAATTTATCCAAAGTATGACACTGACAAAATTGAGTGGAATGATGATGATACGCTTAAAGTGTAAAAAATACAATGGATGACTATAATAACGGAGACGACCTAAGAACTTATGTTTTGATCCACTTGAACTTTGGAATCATTGAATTAAATTATGGATCTATATTGGAATTATAAAATGCCCATAAAGTGTAAAATGGCCTAAAGTATCTCCAAGCCATGGAATAACGAAATACATTCAAGCTCTGAAATGATTAAATCAACCTAAAATACCATAATGATGTTATTATATGACAAAGTTGAACTGAACAGAAGTACCATATGTATCTGAAATTTGGAAACATCCGAATTACTCTGGAAAACTCAAAAGTGACTCGACGAATTTAACTACTAAATGACGTAAATACCTTCATGACCTAGAAATGAGTGATTGTTATTGGATAAATTCTGGAAACACCGAGAAAACCTAAGTATTGTATCGGCCCAAAAGGTTGGGGAGTACGAATCAAGTGTGTTAGTCATATTGGCGATTGTTGCATTTCATAAATTGAGTTAATACCATCGGAATAAGTAGAGTTCCTCAAGCTCCGTTCAACGATGATTCTGAAGATGATCAGTTCGAGTCGATCCGGTATCCTAATAAATTGACATGAATCTTGAATACTATGAATCATTGATTCATCCTTATTAGATTAAGTTACTAAGAATCCACTAAATATCGTAATGTCTAAAATGTCCTTGATGGCCTGGATAATGGAATCACTCTCAGTGAAATTGAATCTTGAATTATTATTATGTAAAGATTCCTGAACATATTCCTGATACACCTGAACCATAAAGGGGTCCTAAAGTATCAACTTTAAATGTCTTATAGATCCGTTAGTAATCAATCCTTTTCAATAGGACCTCGTTTCTGGAATCCGATAAAAAATTCATAAGTTTCATGTTTTCCATTCTTAATAACTATTAAATGCCTCTGAAAAATACTTGGATTCTCTAGTGTGTTTCCTATATACTTCATGATTGATTTATATGTTTTGAAATGTGTTTTACCGAAATTTATTGATGTACTGGCTTATGAACCATGGCTACAATATGATTTTGATTTTCACTAAAAAATATGCTTATTCCTGATTTACGAATCATGGAATTTACTAGTTTATGAACTATGGTTTCTGTTTTCACTTGTTATACTTGAATTGTTTTGTTGGGACTTTATCTGGTAGG